TTTTCACTGTATCTTCCATAATAATTTGCCTTGTCATTGTCCCCAATGATAACTCACTTAAATGTGCAAACAGGGTACATTGCACCCATTCTCACGCTGCTTTCATCTGCAGAAAAGACTCGAGAAGCTGCTGTACAGCGACCGCTTCTTCAGGGAGGACTTCGCCGTTGTTCTCCAGCCCTTTTTGAAGAACGCGGATCCGCCCCGCCTCCCGGTAATCCATCTCACGCCTGTCAGTGTGACATAAGTGTCTGCTTTCGGACCAATCGGTGCGAAACATCACGCGGCGATGACTGACTCATCAGTGATCCCCAGTGTGACAGCTGTAGCTTTTTGGCTGAAAGACTTACGAGTCATGTTTCACCAACAATGCTGTCCATCACTAAAACTATACCGCAGTGTATTTTGTGTCTCTCTGAGCAGAACGGGAAGATCGATATGACTTTCTTCACTCACGACTGCTTCCACTTTACCATAAAGGGACATGAGGAGCTGGCCAAGGGACTGTGGAACAACATGGTGAACAATAAGTTGTATTTGATTTAAAGGCACAAGAGGCTAAAGGTCAATGAGTCATTCAGGGGTTATTGTGTAGGATTCATTTGGAAACAGACCACAGTGGATTTTAAAACAGTCAATATGTGATTGAAGTGCAGATTTTCATATACAATTCAAGGGATTTCACAAAAGTCTTCCATTAACTGTTCAGGAATAATAGCCATTTTTAAATACAAAGTAAAAGCACAATTGATTCACAGATTTCATGTTCTTATGAGGCCTGTTCACCTGTTACGGGTGGCAAGTTAAACAGAGAGAAAAATCTGGAATTTATTCAAAATGTTGAACTTGCATTTGGTAGCTGTTCCCTGCGACTGCACATGGAAATGTGAAGAAGCAATTATTGAGCTGAAAAATGGAAATCAGTCTACTAGAGAGAGGAAAACCAAATCCACAATCTGGTACTTAAAAAAAAAAGATAATAACTTTACATCAAGAAAGAACAATTTCCATCATCAATAAAAACTCTTCACAACATCTAACCAAATGAAGAAGACTCTCACAGAGATCATTGTTGAAGTCTGTGATCGACAGACGTCTTCATAAACGTAGCTGGTGAGGGTTTATAGCACGCTGCAAACCACTGGTTACACTCAAAAACAACAAGGCTAGATGATACTTTGCCAGATAACATCAGAAAGAGCCTAAGATGTGAAAAAGACAAATCTTTGGATGAGTAAAACCAAAACTAACTTGAATGATGGAAAAATTGATATGGAGAAGGAGAGACACAGCTCATGATCAGATGCATGCAACATTATCTGACAAATATGGCGGAGGTAGTGTTACTCCGTGGACACTTATAGCGACCAATGAAATCGAATTGCTGGTGTGTACGGATCATGTGACTGCTGATGGAGGCAACAGGATGAATTGTGAAGTCTACAGGACTACAGTGTTCGCTCAGATCCGGGCAAATTCTGCAAAACTGATCAGACCATGTTTCACAGTGCAAAATGGTAATGTGTCA